GTTTCATTTTGTTTTGTTTTGTTTTGTTTCTTCCTAGAAATAAGAAACAAAATTGTATCACTAGCAAGAAGGCCATGGTTGATACACAGGTAAACTACTATTTCTCTCACATTTGTGTCAGCAAATTAAATTGATCCATTCCACAGCTGCTATTCACTTTGACTGCTTAAACAATAACCCCTTGCCATTTAACATGTGGCATGCTGCACAGAGCAAACAGACTGCAAATTTTCCAAGGGAAACATGGTCAGGACACTGTTGTTAGCATAGCTGCATCCCAGCATCACCAGAGTCCTACCATAACCATTCAAACTGATCTATGATACAAGGTAACAGTTTTGTTTAGGTGGAAGATGACCAGGTTAGACAGTGCTTAGGGCATACTTATTTTAAACAACTTGTAGGCAGATTTTTTAAGGAGCTTTAACAAAGAAATCTTCACAAATGCCAGAGGAAGCATAAGAAGGGAAGCAATTAATGTGTTTGAATATTTCAGAAGCAGATAATGAAAAATGTTAATCAAAAGTAGGATGAATAGCGTATTTCAGCACAAATCACAGTCATTTCCTTGGACAACAACCTTAGACAAATAACCAGTTAACTTTTTTCCACCTTTATTGCCACATCAACAAAAAAGGAAAGATAATTCTTAGCCTTTGTAAAGTCAGAGTTTAGCAATCTCATCTTGAAATGGATATAATAAATGTCATCAGTGTTCTCACTTGCTCTCTTGGGTAGATTTCTGAACGGATTCAGAAACCCAGAGGGTTTCTGGATTCCCCACATTCTTAGGTAACTGCTGCAAACATGTTCGCATGAATTTCAAATTTCTACTCTTGAGTTACGGTCTTCAGACTTGTCAGCTCAGGGATCTTTTCCTTTCCCAAGTCTGTCTTCCTCCTTTCTTCTTAATTTGTTCTCTTGTATGTTTTGTTTCCTTTTGTACTGTGTAAAATAATTTCTTTCCACAACAATAAAAAAGGATTAAAATGGATCATTCATTTGCAGAATTCTTGCCTTTACTGATTGGGATTCAAAACAGACTTCAACACTGGAATGGTTTTAGAAGAGTAATTTCACAGATGATTATTCCCCAAGCTTCGACCATGTGCTCCAAAACTGGAATAACTACATTCCATTTCCAGCTTCCCCAAACATGCTGAATATCATTCTCTACCTGCTCATACACAACATTCTGCACTTCCTGAAATATGCTTACTTCACACAAGTTACTAAATGACTGACAGTAATTCCTAGCTGAGAAAAATTAATTACTAGAGGAGATCATTCTAAAAGCAATAAGCATATTTTCCAATGAACATCAAAATATTAGTTCTTATGAGCCCTCAAGTATAACTTATAGCTGAGAACACTGTAGATTTCTTGTAGCTTCAGGCATCTCAAAATGGACACATAAGATTAGAGGTAATTTTGAGTAAAAAAAAAAATAGATCTAAATTCATCTCATATTTCACATATTCAAGAAATCATAGAACAGGTGAGGTAGGAAGAGACCTCTGGAGGTCACTTAGTCAAACATTCTTCTCAAAGCAGGGTCTGCTCGAGCAGGTTTCTTGGGGCCACATCCATTTGGGTTTTATAACATCTCTAGGAGATATTCAAAGAGATTGAGATACTTGGAGACTCCATAACCCCTCTGCACAACCTGGGTCTGGGATTTGACCACCCTTACAGGGAAAATTTCTTTCTTGTGTTTCGGTTTGTGCTCATTGCCTCTTGTCTACCTCCCACATCTTAGCCCCCTGCAACCAAGTATTTACACACATTGCTCAAATTCCCCTGAGCTTTCCCTTCTGCAGGCTGAACAACCCCAGCTCTCTCAACCCTCTATATGCCAGACGCACCAGTCCCTTCACCAACGTCATGACCCTCCAGCAAGTCCCTGTCTGTCTTGTACATGGGAGTCCAGACCTGGACCCAGCACTGCAGATGTGTCTCCAGTGCTAAGCAGAGTGGAAGAATCCCCTCTGTTCTCCTACTGGTGATGCTCTGCCTAATGCAGCACTGGATGCCATTGACCTTCTTTGCTGCAAGTGCACTATGATGGCTTGCATTCAACTTCTTGTCTACTAGGACCACGCCAGCCAAGAGAAAAAAGTGGACAGGGGTGTTTTGGAGAGTAGAATAAACACTGTGATGAGAAAATGGTGTATCTTGGATGCCTACAAGTTTATAATGGAGTTATTACATCACAGATTTCATTTTGAAAGCAATATCATCCAATTTTTATGTACAATGCTGAATCTACAAAATCCATTGGTGAAAAGTTTTTATAAAATTCAGATAATCATTAAACAGTAACGTACACTGAGATACCAGACTTAACTAAAGATATTGAAATGATTAGTCGATGAATAATTTATTTTCTCTTGCTACTACAGAACCAAGTCCTAAAGTCGCTGAAAAATGAGTGAATTTCAGCCTTCCTGTCAGAATGGTATACCAGGCTTGTTTAACAGATCTTGGAGTGGATGGCACCATTACCAGGTGATCGGTCCTGCAGAGACAATCATCCTTCCCTCTCTGATTGGGATTATCTTTTCAACAGGCTTAGTTGGAAGTATCCTCATTGTGTTCACGATAATAAGATATGGAATTGAATACATTTTTCAGTAAGATTTATTGTTGAAAAAATAAATGACTGCACTAAGGAAGTGAATTGCCCATCAAAGACAAGGATAGCAAGTTTGTCGTGTTCCGTTTAGTCATTAACATTCACTTCTCATTAAAAAAAAAATTAAATCATGACTATAGATAACGGTAATGTATGCCTGCTTAGTCTTTGTTGTTATGAGAAAGTATTTAAGTGCATGATTGGCTTCAAACACATTCAAGGAAACCAAAATACACACCTTCTTCCCTGGCTGCTGTTATAACTGGCAGCAGTCTTCCCACTAGCACATGTAAAATCTAGACTAACTTTAGTTATGGTACTAACCAGGCATTATAATGCTTTACAGAATTCTTCTAAGTTCAGCTGAAATATACTCTTTTTCTTCTTTGAAAACTGCGCTTCTACCTCAGATTATTTTAATAACAGAGCTCTGTCTAACTTTTGCCTATTTACAGCAGCTTCCTGGAACTCATTGCTTTTTTCCAGCATCACCTTACTTCTGGAAACAAGGCCTTAGTGCCAGTCAAGGATTCTCACACGGCAGGAATTAATACCTCAAGATACTTTTGTTGTATACTAAGGTAAAATTGCTAAAGTTTTTTAGGTCATAAAGTCTGACCCAGCCTTCCTTTATGCAAAAAAAAAAAATACCTTCTAGTCTCTTAATTTTAACAAGAGATTTCTTTTTCTATATAATAAAGAATTTCCTCTCAACTGGCTGATGCTACCACAAACTCTAAATCCATAAGCATGTATCTTATAAAAGTGCCTTTTATCTGTGGTGCAAATTTAAGATAAAGAAATATGACAGCGTAATATACATCACACTCTACAAGGATTAACAGATGCACTCCACCCCGATGCACTGTGCTTTTAAAGGAAAGATTTCCAAAGGCCAACCTAGGGCTAAATGTCTGTAGATCCTCAAGCTTCAGTAAATTTCCCTTGAAACTACCAGAAATCCAAGGCCTGGTAGACTCGACATTGTAGCTCATAAACTGAGTGCAGAAGGGAACAAATGTGGAAACAGTATGTCTGAAGTGAATATAATGGTAATAAGACTTTTTAAATATATGAATGAATAGAAAGGAAAAAAGAAATCATTGAGTTTCTAAAAATTAGTTATAGAGTCTCTAAAATAATAGAATGGAAGGAAACTGAGAATGAACAAAGATTTTTTTTCCCCTGTGAAAAGCCTTTCTCTAACTTCAGTAAAAATGAGAGACAGAGGGAATAGACACAGACAATGACTTGAAAAAAAAAATATATAATTTAAACCATATTTGCTTGAGAAAATTACAAACATTCAAATTTATGGGCATGAACACTTATGCACAGGAAAATAATTTGGAAATGGTGTGTTAAAAAGTTAGCGTGGTAGCTACCAACACTAAAAAAGATGTTCACAAACCTCAGATTCTGTAGATGAATGTACATTTACAATGTAGCTACATTTTGAAAAATAACGATGTCAAATTCTCACCCTCCACTAAATGGATCTGATACTACTCAATGGCTCTGCTTCAGAGTTGTGCCTTCTCTCTTTATTGAACACATTTTCTCATGCATACATTTTAATCTTGTTAGCATTATAGAGTCAATTCTTTTAAGAGAGAAAGAAGCTATGTTATCTCTCTAATTAAGTAGAAAGTTATCTACTTTCCAGTAGCAAATGCTTTACTAATGGTAGAATATGATAAAGAACGAATCTTGGAAATTCAGTTCCGCAATTTTGTTTGCAAGTCTGCTGGCGAGGGACAAACATTTTTAAGTGTGAATTAAAATGATATTATCTGCAATTTACTGGGAGAAAATATCTAAAAGTCCTAATGAACACTGCATGTAATCTATGCCTATTCAGTGAGATTTAATTTAAAAATTACTAACTCAACAATTTTTGGGTGGCCCTCCTTGTGTGAATGAATTTCATCCCCAGGGAATAATAGAGGGAGTTGAGATATGTTGCTATTTAATTAAAAAGAAAATGGTGAGGAAGATGCTGCAAGAGTTCAGTGTCAGCCAGAAGTACCCAATAATCTTCATCCCAGCAACCTAGAAAAGCTGGTCCTTAAAACTGCACTTCTGCTAGCAAGTATTTTATGTAAACCTGCTGACTTTGGTGGACCAGCTGCTGGGACAATGGCTATGTTTTTGTGTCAAGGGGGAAAATGTGATCCAGAGAACTCCAATTAGCTACACTAGTCTGATTTTACATTTTTAAGAAAGAGTATGTTACTGAAAAGGGAATCAAACACAATTTCAATTATCTGTAAGTACATCTTTTCAGATTAACTTGATTTTTAATAAGGTAACTAATAACAAGCCGTAAAATAGCATTTCCTAAAACAGAGATTGCAAATAAGTGTCACAACACTCATTACTTGCATTCTGGGTCTTCAACTGGAGAAGATGTATTTGCAACTGAATGTAGAGTCACCAGCAGAAAATTTTTGAAACCGCTACATACAGCTAGTCTATCCAGATCAGAGATTTTATGTTATCAGATTTTATATATTATCACATTGGAAGCTAAATCAGCTAAAGAACAATCTAATGAGTTCAAGAATTATAACATGAGGGAAAAAAAAATAGCTAAAGTGTGGATGGTTCTGGGCAATGTTGATAAGAAACAAGTTTCCTGAAAAGATTTTCAGGAGACAACAGGTTAAAGTGGAACTTTCAGGGGCTGATCATGGGGCCAGCCAGATTTTGTATTTTCCCTCAGAGACCTGGGGCAAAGTGTAGGAGCGTGTCATTAGTATTCCTAATGGCATACGCTGGGGAGATGTGGCTGAAGTGAAGGAATATAAGACTGTCATACAGAAAGAACCAGAAAAAGAATAGAGGAGGGACTAGAGCAGTAGAAATGCAGTAACATTTAAAAATACAAAGCCATAGAATTTTTTTCTTATTAGTATTTTTTATGAATAGGAAGTGCTGCTGTCAGTTAGAAAATAACAAACTCCTGGGATTGCTGTGGGCCATCAATAGGCTAAAGCTGCGTGAGAAGCACACACAGCTGTAATACATGTCAGGCTCTGCCTTTCCAGGGGAAAGAGGGAAATGCTAATGCCGTTCTCCAGGCTCGTAACAAGGCCTGAAATACAACTCTCACCAGCTGTTTTCAGGAGAGATAAGATATTCAGGCTGGAGTAAGAACAGAAAAGAACAATTACTAGAACGAGAAGAATGGAGAACTATGAAAATGCACCTAAATTTGTTTTTTAAAAATAAGGTTCAGAGGGGTATGCTTGCTCTCTATAGATCAGGTTCAACTACAGCAGAAAGAGTAAAGGACTGTTTAAACTAAAGGCTAAAACTGGTACAAGAGCAATTGGGTAGACCACAGTCAGAGGGTATTAAAGATAGATAACTGGGAGGTGATTTTTACTTTCCAGAACAGTGATGTCCTGTGATAGCCTTCAATAGGAAGAAAGGGTATGTACTTGCTTTTTTAAATGTGTGATACCTATAAATCATCTCATGTTCGACCTGAAAGATCACTTCCAAATTAACAGTCAAGCTTCTAGTTAATGAAGACTCTCTGTCCAGGAGGATATAAATAAATTCTGATGACAGCACATAATGTAGTCAAAGGGGATAAATAATGACTGATGACAACACACAATGCACTTGTTATGTTCCTTGAAGTTGTTACCGGAGTGACAGCCAGTATATGGATTATCACATTGTCATGTCTGCTCAACACTTCTGTTTTTTAATGGATTGGGATCATTCAAATCGATTTTTTAATTAGTTTAATCTGTAGAAGTAGAATTGAAGACAAGGTAGGACTAACCACAGATTTGACATAGTCACAAATTTTGCAGAACACCAGTTGTGCTTTTGTACCTTTTTCATAGGGTGTTTCAGATGGAAATTAACCTGGCATGGGTGGAAGGATGAATTGGCCAGCTAACATCTGTGGCTTGAGAAACTGCTGAGAAGCTCTGAAATCTGTGGTGAGAAGATAACACTGAAAGAATGAAAAGAAAGAAGTTTGAAATTGAGGTTATCATCATTATTTTCCTGGCTTTAGTTTTGTCAGTTTGGGTTTTTTTTCTTGTAAAGTAATAGTTTTAGCAGAAGGCAAGCACCACTATCTTAATAAAATACAAGAAAGTTATAAACTACAAAATGTGGCCAAAATTATTTGAGATTATAAAGTTTACTACGTAAATTACCATTTTAATATTGTGGTTCTGAGCCACCACAGGAAACTCTATGGAAATCTGTATGAAAATACGTGTCCTGGCCTCTGGACACTGATCTTAAAAAAGGCATCATTTTGTGAACCTCTGTAAAGCATGAGACGGTGGATATTACAACACTTCCCTTTACATCAGCCATGAGACAGCTGTTCAATGCGTATTCTTTCTTGATTAAACTTAGCATTGTGCTGGGTTTGGCTGGGGTAAAGTTAATTTTCTTCACAGTAGCTGGTATGGGGCTCTGTTTTGGATTTGTTCTGGAAATAGTGTTGATAATTCAGGGTTGTTTTGGTTATTGCTGAGCAGGGCTTATCCAGAGCCAAGGGTTTTTCTGCCTCTCACCCCTTTCCACCGGTAAGAAGGCTGGGTGGGCACAAGGAGTTGGGAGGGGACATGGCCGGGACAGGTGACCCCAATGACCCAAGGGATATCCCATACCGTATGACATCATGCTCAGCATATAAAGCAGGGGGAATGTTGGCCAGGAGGTTGTTGCTCGGGAACGGGCTGGGCATCTGTTGGTTGGCAGTGAGCAATTTTTCTCATTTGCATCACTTGTCTTTCTTGGGTTTTATTTCCCAGTCTTTGTTATTTTCCTTTTCATTAAAATTATTTTTTAAATTTCAATTATTAAACTGTTCTTATTTCATCCCACGAGTTTTCTCACTTTTACCCTTCCAATTCTCGTCTCCCCATCCTGCTGGGTGGGCAGTGAGCAAGCGGCTTGGTGGGGCTGAGTTGCCAGCTGAGGTTAAACCACGGCAAGCATAAAGTGTGCGAGTTTAGAATCTGAGATTCTCATTCTGAGTCCAAAAGTAATTTCCAATTTAGTATGATTTGTCCTGTTAATGTGAATGAAACGAAGCAGAAAAAGACCATTTTAACTTTTACGTAAAATGGCATGTATAGGCAGTTTTCAGATGCTTTGAAACCTGTGTGTCTGAGCATGATGGTACTATTTGACGCCTTGCAGGGAACACAGTTTGGGGCTTTTCTTTTCCTGCAGATTTTGCATCCTTCAATGTTCACAAAGTTAAAGGCACTGAAGGAAAAAGATCACATATGCGTCATTCTCTCCACAAGCTCCAGTCATTACTGCCAGCAGATATACTTTATAGATGTCTGGCTTTGGTTTCAGTATCATAACCAGATGACAGTGAATCATACTTCATAATTTATTTAAAATGTTTGGAAAAAAAATACTTTTGTCTGGCACATTCCCTCTTGTTTCTTTGGAAACACAGTTATTTCGTAGCTTGTAGCACGCAGTGAAGACAACATGAAAAATATGAAATTAGGAATTCTTCACACACAGGTCTTTTTAGGAAATGATGGTCGTGGAGTTGGACTTCTGAATGTGGTTCGTGGGTGGCCAGGGTGAGTTGTCCCAGCTGCAAGTTATTCTGTGTCTTCCAGTAAGAATGACAAACAAACTGGTACTTTGCAGTAGACTGGAAAAAAAAAATAATAAGAGGTACTGAGAGGGAACCTAGACAAATAGCTTAGACTAGACATCTAATTTGTAAGTGTATTTAGGTAAGGTGATTTCTATATGAAGATTGTGGATAAGGACCTTTTTAATAAAGTCCTGTAATTAAAAAATATTTTCTAAATATCAATGCTTTTCAAAGATACTTTGTGCTTCTTTCTTTGATTTGTATAGAATAAGGCAATTTAAAGTCAGGAATTCTTTCAGCTGCATGTATAACATTCCTTCAAGCCTAAATCAGGCTTGATTATCAGAATTCATCTCATCCTAAGATAAGGATTACATTTTGGTAAGGGAATCTAGAAAAGCATATATATCGCACAAAAGCTATGCAATATGGACATGAAACTGGCAAAGCCAAACTCTCAGTACTTAGACGAAGACTCTACATGCAGTTTTAACTCAGTTGTGTTCCCTCTGTATGTATAAACTTCATGAGACTATCTTTAGATATATGATTGCATGGTATTTTTTTCCCAGAGGATCATCCCTCTTTCAGCAGTTCCCTTTTTACCTTGAGCACTCAAGGACCTCCTGTCTGCATCTTTAAGCAAAATTCAGCCCTGAGTCAATTGCCTTGCAGGAAGGTTCTCACCTCTCTTCCTCTTTACGCTAGGCTGATATTTCTAGAGTTCCTATATCCATCAGACTTGTGTTTATTTTGAATACTTTATAGTTTTCAAAGGAGAATATGGATAATTTTGCTGATGTTAATAAAATAAATAGCCCGTTCAACCTCACTGGAAAGAAAAATTGTGAACCATAGATTTTTGCTGAGCCTAAAATATTTAGTTTGAAATATCTTTGGGTTGACAAACTTCCCCTGACTCTGAAATAGTGGTTCTGACAGTATGCTTGTGTGCAGGTCTGCTCAACAGCGTAGTTGGAAAACAATACAGTAACTATGTCAAGTAATGATCTTCATGTCTTCTAATTTATTTCAGAACCCAGAAGAAAACTATCTCGGATACCTACATCGGTAATCTGGCTGTAGCAGATTTGGTTCATACCATTGGCATGACCTTTCTCATTCCCCAACGAGCATGTGGAGGCAAGTGGGTATTTGGCAGCCCTCTTTGCACCATCATTGCCTCCCTGGACGTATCCATCCAGTTTACATGCAGTGCCATTATGACCGCAATGAGTTTGGATTTGAATGTGGTTTCATATTTTCATTCTGTACCCCAGGACAATAATATCCGCTTACGTTTATGCAAAGCTGTAGTAATTCAAGAAGTTGAAATGTCATCAGTCACAGTTAATGATTTTTTGAAAACTGCAGGAATAATTTTCTGATGTTTGTGGATGTGGCAAAAGTATTTTAAGTCTCGCTGTAGCATCACGCTATGTACAAAGCCTTAAGGATCCTCGTCACCACCAGTGTTACTGTTCTGGGGGTTATCCTTAGAGGTGCAGCTTCTAGTAAAGGCTTAATGTCACTAAAACTAGTTTTGTTTTAACTGTTTTTGTTTAAGATAAAAAATTGGCTTCCAGACAGACTGCAGAAACCTGCTCTATCTGTTATTTTTTTAAAACCTTTATTAAAATGCAGCAAGACTACCACAAGAATTTAACTCTTATTGTAACTACAGATTTCAAAAACCATTTCTGTATATTTTCATCTTAAGGAAAAAGTGACCAAACTCAGGAAAGCAAAGTCTACTTTGACCAAAAAAAGTCTTCTTTCATATGTCAGAGAGAGCATGAAGGAAAACAAAAAGACAAACTTTCCTGCATAGCACAAGGCACTGGTCAATCATTTAGAAGACTCTGGGATAAATAGAGTCAATGGGAAGGACGGTTGCTATTGAACGTGTAACATACAAGACAGCATGCTTCCATGGAAGTGGAATGTAGTCACTAAAGGGAAGGAGAGAAAAATTATCAGAAAACAGAAAGCAGAAAGTAGAAAATTGAAAGTTATAAATAATTTTGAAATGGATAAAATATGTCTATCATAAAAAGGTTACACTAATGCATGACATTAAAAGCCTTGTTTGGTTGACATGTAGTTAAAAAAGTCAAGAAATTATCAATGCCTTTGAAGTTCAATTCTAAAAGCTCTGTTCTTATGAGTATGAGACAAATAACAGTCTTTTCCTAAAGAATTTACATATAGCAGTATCTTTAATCTTGCTGTTTAGAGAAAAAAAAAATGTGCAAAAGACAGTAAGTATTAAGGCAGGAAAAAGACAGGATATCCTACTGAGGAAAGACAGAATATCAAAACCTGGTATAAAAAATAGTTTATGTCCCAACTAAAACTGTGTCTTAAAATAGACTTTTTTTTTTCCAAATTACTGAGAGTAAGCCTCTGCTTTTCTATTTTGAGGCAAGTTTTTCCATCTCAAATGCACTTGCCTAGGGAAAGCTCTTGAAATTACTTCTCTCCCATTTGTTTTATCACTGCTAATACCAATTATGACACTGTAGCCAAGAGAGACAAAGGTTTTTCAGTTAACAAGCTCCCAAACTGTTTAGTGCTTGATAGTTGCAGTAAAGCACCTCTGAATCCACCTGGGAGCTTTCTTTAAGTGAAAAGATTAAACCAGCTATTTTGCAAAAAATCAGCAGAGTTTATCAGACTCTGTTTGACTGTATAATCATCTCACATTCTCAATAAAAGCAAGAAACATAATTACACCTTAGTAAATGCTGTGGCTAATGCAGCATCAAGCAGCTTCGTGTTTTCTTTCACATTTCTCAAAAATAAAAGCTCTTCTGAAGACAGGAGCAGGTCAGACCTGGGAAGGTGCTTCCAGAAGAAGTTTGAGCTGAATAAAATGCAAATTAATATCTGTCATATTGCTGGATAATGTTTTTAGTCCCATAAATCCTCTGTTTCATAATATGAGTGAACTATGTCACGCAATGGTCCAACAGAGATTTCAGTATTTCAGCATTTCTTTTTGCAAATCAAATTTCTTTATAAGATCTTAAGAAGTGGCAAAACCAGCTGTTCTCTCCATGGAGCTTTCGGGGCCAATTTATGAGGGGTACAATGTATAAAATTTTGCTTTTCGCTACTCACTTTAATATGAAATAAAAACATTAAGGAAAGCTGTAAAAACTATGTAAGTTGAGTATGCATATTAAAATTTATGAGAAAGTTTCCTAAACTGACATCAAACATATTTTTTTAATACAGATTCATGTTTACGCCACAGGTAGACATTACATAAATTAAACCTGGATGAAACCTTGGTAGCAGAACTTTTACCTATTGGTTAAAAGAAAATTTCATAAGAAGCAGCTCACAGCACCTGTTCTCTGGACGAGGACGCACATAGGCACACATAGACAACAATCCTAATGTAATTTACGCCCAGGTATATGATGAGCAAATCTGACTGTTCAACACAAATATTGCTATGCATATCTGGCCCAAGTGAAATCAGAACTCTGTACGCTGCAGACAGCATCTCTTCAAGCCCAAATATTGACATACTGTTATGTTGCAGTCTCTGGTGAGACAGGTGAGATGGTGAATGGGTGAAAAGGGAGTCCAGTATGATGTCCTACACTAACATTGTTACTTGGAACATTCCAATAAGCCACTTGGCTTCAACTGAAGATGAACATTGCAATTAACAACATCAGTGACTTCTTTAAAATGGCAAAGGACCGCTTTGGCATACGACATTTTAAACAAAGAACTGGGACTTACACGTTCAAAATAACTGATGCAGGTTCAGAAGTCACATCATTACGTATTCCTTCACAGCACACAAGGTGCGGCAGGCAAAGCCTATGCTGGATTTTCTTTCTGTGACGGGGCTGTGAGGCACATCTCATTCCCTGTAGCACGAACGCACCGGAGCATGTCACGGGAAAATGGCACTCTCCCTTCTTACAGCTTGCACCTGCTTCTGACTACTTCTGTAAACTTTGGTTATAAGAGAAGGTGTAGTCCTCTGGATAGGGGTTCAGTTGCCTGTGATCCAAGTTGTGCTTTTGGTATGGCACAGCTATAGCAGCTTGTCTCAGCCTCCTGAGAAAGTTGCTAGATGCTAAGCTGTGCAAGAGTACCTGGAGTAGAACCATTAGTGCTAAGAAAGGTAAGACAGATTGAAGTCAGGGACCAGAACGTTGAGGTGGAGACAGTTAGCAGCTCAAAGATTCAAGAGAAACACTGGCACAAAGAAGTATAAAATGCTAACAAAAATCAGGGAGTCTGAAGATGCCCTTTCACTCCCATTGGCAGTTGTCCAGCAAAGATACAAGGGTGTCATACAGGGGTGGTAAGAGTACTAACACCTAGCCTAGGAGCTTGCTAGTCCTAACTGTCTGTTGTCTATTGCAATAGCCAATAAATAATTGCTTTTTGTGAAGATCCTGTTTGCAAAGTGCCTCTCTGCTTGGGCAAAGTTCCCCAAGCATGTTCCTGAAGTCTGCGAGTTACGTAGGGTACCAGTCAATTTGGAGGGCTGCATAAACATTTATTCAACCTATCCCCTTAAGGCTTCAGACACATAAATAGAGAGGTGAAGCCAGGAAGATAAATCTGGAGTAAGCAGCTCTGTGATGGTTGAGAAGAAACAGGCAAGTGTTCCAAGTGTTTGCAGCAGCCAAGACTGACAGGCATGAGAAAATATGTTCCTGGTTTGCCCATTGTTGTAACGTTGCTCTAAGAAATATTTACCAAGGCAGTACCACTGGTAGCGTGGGGCCTTCTCTCCATGCAAGTCATAGGCTTTCAGTTATTTAAAACCAGAACCGCTTGATTTGCCATGGACTAATCCATTTACTCATTCTTCACACTCTTTTTTTCTGTTGCTCCTTGCTTCACTTCGCATGCAGTCACAAACACCCTAGCCAGGGGAAAAGGTAAAAGCCTTTTAAAATCTCCACCTCCTGAGCAGCCCTTCGTCTCTGAGTGTAGTACACTTTGCTGTCTCTTGGGGAAATCCTAACAGAAGTTCATTTTAAGCCAATTCAGATGATATATTAATAATTAACATTAATCAGATCATTTATACTAGTGATGTCAATAATAATAATAGTGTCAGTATACTGTATGGTGTCAATATGCAATATGTAGTAATAATGTTAGACCATAGGATGTCAAATATGGCAGGTTAAGATATGTTCAGAGGCAGGAAGAAAAAAGTGAGGAAAAAGCCAAGCTCTAAGACACGTTTCCCCTCCCCTTGTCCTATACGCACAGGAGAAGTATAACCACGTGTTTACGGCTTTGGTAGAAATCAGACTAGATGACATGCAGTTAGGTACAACATTAACTAAAAGCGCAAGCTCCCATGAAATATTTTCTCTGTCATAGTGTCACCTTGGCTTTCATTTTCATACCATGTACTTTGGTGGTGGTTGGTCTCATAGATGTTCCTCCACGCAGCATTGTGACAGTAAGTTTGGCAGAAAGGTAAAAAGAAACGAGGTAACAGGCGTGGGTACCAGGCACCACATACCTGGTGCCTTGTACTTTTTGAGAGCTCTGCAGGCTCCATCGCTGCCTCCTTCTCCAGCTCTCTGTGTCAGAGACGCAGCTCAGACACTCCCATTATCACTTGCTTCAGGTAAGTATTCTTCAGACTTTTCCCAACAAAAAACTCTTTTATTACTGATAATTACTTTGCCAGATGAGGGCACATGTCTGCCTTTAAGTTCTACTCTCTGTTTGAAGTGACAATTATCCCTTATTTTCAAAACAGCATGTTTTCCCAAATGCACCACTCACGTTTCATTTCATAAATTTATCATCGGACAATAGGCAAGATTGAAAATTACATCCAAACTGAAACAACCAACAGTATCCACTGCTACAAAAGAATGGAGACAAAAGCTGCTTGATAAGTGTTTAGGGTAGATTAATTTCTTATTGTCTGGGGAAGGGTAAGTCAGAATACCAGCAGGCTGGAGTAAGTATGAGTTCTAGCAAGAAAAAGAATCATTTACATTTACATTGACTTGAATTTGTGGTGATGTTTTCATTCCGCCCAGCCTAATGATTTCCTTTTCATCTTTAAGTTTATTAAATGAATTTTTTTTTCCTTTGCTCAGATGAATATTAAAAATGAGAATTAGAAACCCAGGGAAATCATCCTTTATAGTCATATACCAGTATACGAAAACATCCAGCAAAATAATTGATCCAGAAAGTGTGAAAAGTCATCTTACAATACTTAGGGAAATA